CACCTGCCGCCATCTGCTTCAGCTGGGCCACCTGCTGTGCCGGGATGTGCAGCACCAGCAGCTGCATGGGCTGCAGTCCGTCCGCCACCAGCAGCTTTGCCAGGCGCCAGTAGCCGCCCAGGCTGGGCCGCACCTCCAGCCGGTGCTCCCGCCACTCGCCGCCCTCGCACCCAAGCTGCGCCGCCATGGCGCCCGAAGACATCAGGCAGCGGTCCACGGGGCGCAGCAGGTGCGCGGGGTCTGCGGGGGGGCCGCCCACGCGCTCGCGGTACCGCGCCGCCAGGTGGGCCGCCAGCAGGGGCCAGCGCACCCCGTCGCACACCAAATGACTCAGGGTGATGCCCAGCACGTCTCCATCCGCCAGCTGGCTGAGCTGCACCTTCATCAGCGGCTCCTTGCCCGCCATCACCCTGCGCAGGCGAGACGGGGAGGGGCGCAGGTGTGCGGCGCAGATGCTTTCTTTGTTTCTCTTGAGGGCAGGGGGAGGGGCGTGGCAGGCAGGCAGTCCCGGCAGGCTGCAGGCACAGCTTCATCATGCTCGCTCACCGCCTGCCATCCATGGGCGGGATGTAGAAAGGGATGGCAGGCGCGGCCAGCGTGATGCGCGGCTGCGGCCAGGTCAGCGGCCCCATGCCCGCCACCCGGGCATCCTCGCTGGTCGCCACCGTCAGCAGCGCGCCCGCGCCGCTGTGCTCAATGTGCAGGCTGCCCAGGCGGCCGCCCTCCATCTTGCAGATCCTGCGGCGGCGGGGCGGCGGCAGGGGAGCTTAGTTTCATCAGAAGAAGAGTGGACGTGAATGCGCCCCCGGTGGCGCTCCCGTCGTGGATGGGAAGGGACATGTGCAGCCTGTGCAGCATGGGGGGTGCCGCCCACCCACCTGCCCGCCAAGAAGGGCAGGTCGGTGACTGTGGCCCGCAACGCCGCCTCCAGGGCGGCCGCGTCAAGCCGCCCTCCCTGCCACCCCCACGCCCTCGTGGTGCAGGTGATCACGTTGACCTGTAGCCAGAGGGCAGGAGAGGGGGAGCAGGTCGAGGGCGGGGGAGGTGGACCAGGGGCTGCGCCACCAGTGCCGCCTGCGGCAGCCGCCACGGTGCAGCGCCAACGACACCTGGTCGAGGCAGGCCAGCTCTGTCCGGGCGCTGCTGACGGCAGGCGGCTTGATCAGCTTCTCAGACACCAGTTCCAGCTGGAAGGGTCCAGGGCCCAGCCGCGGGGTGCACCACATTCGCGACGGCGCGAACCTCAAGGGCGGCGGCGGCGCGGTCGAGGCAGCTGCGGGGAGGGGCTGGGCGCTGGCGCGCGGGCGGACAACCTATGCCAGAGTGAGGCGAAGCCCCGCAGAGCACCTCCCGGGCGGGAGGGGTGCAGGAGAAGGCCCAGCAGACCAGTCGGTGCAGGGAGGTGCGGCGCTTCTCCCAATGCAGCGCGCGAACTTGTTTGGTCGCTCAGTGAGTAGAGGCGATTGGCTGTATCGGGGGAAGCGCTCTGTCGTAAGGGCGGACCCCGCTGCTGGGCGTGCTGAGCTGCCTAGTGGCCTTGCATATTCGCTGGACATGGCATCCCTGCGGCTTTTGAAGTTGCCACGGCAAGCCAGGGACGCGATCAGTCGTTTTATCAGCTGCTGCGGCGTCCAAACTCGCTGGCACAGGTGCCCGCCCAGTTGCCACCCACCATCCTTTGCGGGGGAACAGCATCAGAGCGCCAGCTCCCTGCATTCGACTGCCGGGAAGCATCACGCCATCCGGCTCTTCGAGTAGCGTGGCAATCGAGCGCCAAAGATGGGCCGTGGCGGCGACGCAGGGCTCGGCTCCAGGAGGGGCATGCGCAGGTGTGCAGCCCCACAGCCAACTGACGCCGCGTGAACCAGGGAGGCGAGCGCTGGCAAGGGCTTCCTGTTCATTGCTTCCCGCCGCCGCCGATGTCGCCGCCGCCGCCTCCTGCCCCGCCGGTGGGCCCTGCCTTTGCAGGACTCCCTCCATGATGGAGCGGCTGGCCAGCCTGGAGCTGAAGCTGGAGGCACGGCAGAAGCTGCAGGGCTTCAAGAACGACATGCTGGTGCGTGGCCACGCTGCCTCCCTCCGAACTGCCTCCTCCAGGACCACGACCCCTTCGTAGCAGCCTCACCTGCTGCTCTCCTGCCGCCATGCCTGCCTGCCTGCCTGCCTGCCTTCCCAGGTCCTGAAGAACATCTGGTTCAAGAAGCTGCGCGACACAGACGACCACGCGGAGCGCCTGGAGAGCTTCTACAAGAACCAGGCGCACGCATGTGGGTGGCTGGTGGGGTGGGTGGGCGGGGGTCCGACCGTCTTCCCGCTGGGTCGCCCAAGAGGAAGCCTCCCCCTGTGCCACTGGCGGGCTGCCGCTGCACGCTCACCGCACGGACTCATGCCCTCCTCCCGCTTGACTTTGACACACCACCACCACACAGACAACCCTGCTCGTCACGTCCCCTGCCCCCTCCCCACCCGCAGACGACAGCTTCCGCTCCAAGTTCCTGTGGGGGCGGCGCCCCATGCTGGCCGCCTGCGCCGCACGCCTGCGCGACTGCGACGACATGGTGGGCGGTGGGAGGGCGAGCTCAATGGCAGCAGCGCCTGGTGACCTTCTGCTCTGCCCTGCCCTGCCCTGCCCTGCCCTGCCCTGCCCTGCCCTGCCCTGCCCTGCGTGGCCTTGCTTGGGAGCACAGCCAACCGCTGCCGCCCTTCCCGCCCGCTCCTCCTGCGCGCAGGTGTGGGTGGACCTGGGCGGCGGCACCGGGGAGAATGTGGACATGATGTCATCCTACATCGACCTGGCGCAGGTGGGGGGTGCGCCCCCACCCAGCACCCTGCGCTCTTACCAGCCCCCCACTAGCAGCTGTCCCCACAGCCAGCACCGCTCCAGGCGCCATAGGCCCGTCCCCACAGCCGTGCGCCCTGCCTGCACCCCCACCCCTGCACATGCCTGTTACTGCGTCCAACCCTGCCGCCGCCTCAGTTCAAGGCCATCTACGTGGTGGACCTGTGCAAGTCGCTGTGCGAGCAGGCGCGCAAGAAGGTGGCGGAGAAGGGGTGGGCCAACGTGCGGGTGGTGGAGGCGGACGCATGCCACTTTGCGCCGCCAGAGGGCGCGGCCACCCTCGTCACCTTCTCCTACTCCCTGTCCAGTGAGGCCCGGGCCTGGCGTGGGCGGGGAGGGAGCGAGAGCAGCGTAGGACACCCGGCTTGTCAGCCACACAGCCCACACGCTGCCGTGCACAGGGCTGTGTGCGATGCTGCTTCCCACCCTCTTGGGGCCCACCCGCCCGCCCCTGCCCCGCAGTGATCCCTCCCTTCCACGCCGCCGTGGACCGCGCCATCTCCTACCTGGACCGCGAGCAGGGTCTGCTGGGTGTGTGCGACTTCTTCACGTCCTCCAAGTGAGGCTGGGGGCTCTGGGCGTGCCGCTGCAAGCATGTGGTGGTAACGGCGCCTGCACCTGCCGCTCCGAGCAGCAGCACGGGTGCACCTCGGCCCTTGCTAGCAGCCAGCTGGCTGGCCGACGTACCGACCCGCCGTGCGGCGCCGCAGGTACGACCTGCCGCTGCGCCAGATGGACTGGCTGCGCCGCTTCTTCTGGCGCTCCGTCTTCGACTCCGACAACATCGACATCGGCCCCGAGCGGCGCCAGTACCTGGACCACCAGCTGAGGTGGGGGCTGGCTGGCTGGCCGGCGCGGGCAGAAGGGTTCTGTGTGTGGCGGGTGCCGCTGCACCAGCGGGAACAGCGACCGGGTGGGGAGGAGTTGAGCGGGGTGGGGTGGATAC